AGAGTTCAAAGTCTATTTTAAATTAATAGTAAATAAATAAATAATTTAAAAAACTGAGTATCTATATAATAATATTTATAACCTGAAGAAAAATAAAAAAAATAGTACTTACACTCTAGATTCATTATTTAAAAATAAACTTAAAAATTGCCCCCCCTTTTTGTCTTGAATTGTTTATAGTTTGTTACCACGACTACCTCTACAGTCTACAATCCGCCTGTAGACGCATATAAATTTTTATTACAAATAGGTACAAAGTAGGAAGTGTAGAAGCGACTGGTCAGGTACGAAGTACTATCGTTCGAGAAATCTTTATATTCCTACTAACCGCTTTGTGTTTGTGTTAATCCGATGTCTTTCTGGCCAAAATAGACTTTAATAATCAGTGTTGTTATTAATAATTAATAATATAGACAGTGATAATTACTTAAGTTACCTATTCGAGAGGAGTTTTTCCATTGCACGGAATTTAACCTTTAAGGTTGGGAATGCAACTATTATATACACATTTACATACAATTTTTCATTAAAATTCAAGTGCACGCTGACTAACATTATGCAAATAGAATAATACTGTACTGAAATTAAAACGTTTTTCATTAACTTTAGATACTTAATTAATTTATCTATCAATTCAATGTCACCAGCAGCTTTTCTACTATTATCCGATATTTATTTTGGCTAAAAAAGTGACTAAGTACTGAATATATACCTATTTATTAAATTTCTACAGTTTGATCCACGCCTAGTTAATTTTATGGGAAATATTCCAATAGATAAATTTTTTACGTTCGGGTTCGTGTCTTGACCGCACGTTGAAGTCTCCGAAATTAAATTCAGGATTTTCCCATGTATTACGATAAATAAGTTATAAAATTAAAACCAGTTAATAGGGGTGTGATCTCTAGTGTGAATTATTGCAATTTGAAAAACAAATATCATTTCTGCATGGTTATTTCGTCTAATTATATACGTTTCTCTTTTTCCAGTTGCTTTTATTTACGGAAAATCATGAAATTTAAATAAAATGTAACATAAAAGCACTAATAGGAATTATTTTAAATAAATAATCAAGTTTCAAAAGAATCTAAAGTGAAAGTACCTAACTTAAGTACTTATACTCATGTTTACTATACCATGAATAAAAAATTAGAATAATTAAGAATCCAAAGGAGCAGTAAATAATTTATACTTATAAAAATATTTGTAAAGATTAATATCAATAACACGAGGCACTTTAATTGCTGGTTTATTATTACTTTTTTTTTGTTTAATTAGATAATTGAAACCAATGGTAATTCCTTCAAGTTAAATTTCGCTAGACGAAAGAAAAACGACAAGAAATCAGGAATTCTGCTGTTTGCTATTGAAATAGTGCATCAGTATACATTTGTATTACAAAACAAATGCAGTTAAACAATAATACAAACAAAAGACAGGCTGGACAGGATCTGTGCTTGGCTGGCCTAAAGAATGTTTAGCGTTTATAATACGAAACCTGTTTAAAAATAAAAAAAAAACACCTTGGGCAGTGAGTAAATCATTTAAATTCTTCCATTCGCCACTAAACCTTGATGAAAAAAATAACGGACCCATGTGGAACCATACCAATGCATAAGGATTAAGTACAACAATTTCATGCATATTTACTTTTCTTCTTAAAAGTAGAACGAATTAAAAAACCGATAGCATAGTGTGTACAGTGAACAAATCAATTTTATGAAAAGTGGGACAGATAATACCCACAAAATATTGGTGAATACCAAATCGACGACCTAAAAACCATACACACCGAGTATACCGAGTGTTCGTGAATAAAAAGAGACCCAAGTATGTTATTTAACGAAATAGTGATGTCGAATATAGTAGTTAGAAAAAATAAACGAAAATATCGAATTATTTGAACTGTTATTAGGAGTTAGTGCGGGTTAAAAAGTGTCCCAGGCTCAAAATGAGTTTCGTCAAAAGAGGATTAATCTTTTTCACATTTTTTGGCGCGGTTTTTGCGATTGCTTTACTTGTAGCAAGCGTTGTGACAGAACAATGGGTTGTAGCAAAAGCAAAGAGAAATACGAAAGAATCTGAGGGTAAAATACAATTTGGACTGTTCCATGGTAAAAAGGAACTTAACGTTGGTTACGGATGGAGAACAGATGAAATTGATGGTAAGAATTACTTGTATTACATTTATATTTCAAACAATTACGATTTTTTACCTAATTCGCTTGGACTACACGTTCGGTACCTATACATATAAATGGTAAAATTTTGGAACAGGACCGATTTCAACAACTTGTCATTATTATTATTCACGATTCACCGGATGTTAAATTAACATATTAATTTTTTAATTTAACAGTTATCCATCAGTTAAAGCATGAGCCAGAGATTCTAAATTATAGTTTATGGTTTGGTACCGTTGCCTGTGTCTGCGGGGCGTTACTTTTCTGTATGTTAAGTGCCGTTTTTGCCGTTGTAAATACGGCTAGAAAAACTTCCGTTTTTCTTGTAAGCATTCGAGGCCTATACCTATGGAACACTCTAGCACGTAAGTGGATAAGTAGAAATTCGATTTGTTGCTTCCTGAATAATCAGAATGTAATAATTTAATACTTACGTCAAGTAAAAATTATTATAGTTGTATGTGAACAAGGGAAAACATTGGACTAAAACAAAAACTAAAAACAATCGAAATTAAACAAATGAAAAAAAGAATAATAATTGAAAATTTTGTTTTATTATAGTTCTTGCCAATTTGGGAATTATCGGATTTTGGCTAGCTCAATTTTTTTTAAGAATTCAGCACAACGTTATGACCCGGGAAGATGTATATAATAAATGGACTTCGGAAAATATGGCGGATTTAGGGTACTCGTTTTGGTAATTTTTTGACATTCATTTTTTTTTATTATTTTCACTTATTCTGGATTTATTTTTAGGTTTGTAACAGGCTCAGCCATTACAAATTTTATAAATATTATTGTGATATGCTTTGCCAATACTGATAACGATGAAACGGATTCAATTTATCCTGTATTAGAGGAAAAAACAAACGGGGCCATTATGTTATACTAAAATAACATTATTCATATATAATTTATACATAATATGTTATACATATAATATATACACAATATTTTCTCTTTTGTTTATATGATTGTTCCTACCTTCTCTATAAATGCTGATGTACTTACCTTTGTATATAAAAAAATATCGTTAGTAATTTGTTTTTTTTTTTTTAATAATAATAAAATAATATCAGAATAAAACAAAAAATTCGTAACTACTAATATCAAATGAAGGATAAACATAAGAAATGTACATGCATTTGTTTTATTCAAAACATTTGATATACTTAGCATTCACAATAGACTTATTTAACTTGAATGTTAACATTTCATTTACGTAATATACATTTTATTATTCAACTCAATTGATCACTGATTTTTAATATATTACACATCAGCAATTCAATAGTTTAATATTTCCAAAATAAAGCACATTTTTTATCACTTTTTAAAAGTCAAATACTATTATTGCTATTTTAAATTGAGTTTCACAAGGGTACAAATCTTTCATAATTTCTGTAACGCTTATTTCGTATGAAAATACAATTTAAATTACTACACCTACATTGGATTTGTTCCTTGACCTAAGGTTTAATGAAAAACTACGTCTTATTTATGTTGTGAAGCTAATAAAATTTTTAACTACAATAAAGCAGTTTATCATTAAAATGTTATCACTTAAATGCGTTAACGTTAAAAATAAAAATGTTTTACGAGTTTATATCGCTATAATACAAATTTAATTAAGGAAACTAAGTACAATGACTAATTTTTTAATGTACTAGATACATAACATTATAAGTATGTACATTATTACAAAAAATTTGGCTATTTTATTGGTCCCCTGAAAAATATTTTTCTATAAACGGATTTAATATTTCGGAAACTTTAGCCGAGTTGTTCAAATGGAAATGGTGTGTTCCCTTGAATTTATAAAGTTGAAAGTTTTCATTATTTTCTTTAAATATGTCCATGATTTCGTTATAAAGGAACGGATTCCAATTTTCGCGAAAATCATAAACCGCTTCAATCTCCATCGCAGGATTTTTAAATTTTGAACCGTCTTTGACTAATTTTTTATAGAACCACGCCATAAAAAATTGACATTTAACCCTGGGATCCCTCGTAAAATAATATTTACTAGTATCGACCTTCGATTGTTTAACATTACGAGCAATTAAATATTTGCATTTATCTAAATCAACGGACTCTCCCGAGCCTTTGTGGAGTATTTTTTCTAAATTTTCATAGGGGTAACTTGGCGGTTCTTTATTTGAACAATTTGCTTCGTCATAAAACAAAAACTTATCAATTATTTCTGGGGTACAGTTTACGTGTCCACCTATTTCCGTCATGGGGGTTGCAGTATCGAAGCATATAACAAAATCAACCATGTTGGGAAAAGTGGTTGCGTATAGATAAGAAGTAATACCCCCCAATGAGTGGCCCATTAAAGACAATTTAGACCAATTAAAATAATTCATTATTCTTCTTAACAAAATAACCAAGTCGAAACCATTATAAAAAAGTCCCGATGGTATTTGAGACGAAAGGCCATGCCCGGGCAAATCTATGGTTAGAAATGGTACGCAGGAGGGTAAGTGCTGAACTAAAGGATCGAATGTTCCACAGTTATCCTAGAAACCATAATTTTGTACCAGCCTTACTTTACAACACCAAAATTCAAGAAATAAATATTTTTTTATTTTGATTTTTTTTGTACTACAGTTTTGGAACTTTTAATCATAAAATGTATCTGAATCACGACTTTTATAACATTTATCAAGAGAGACAAGCTTAAAGAAACATGCAATTTTTTGTGTCATATATACACCTCCTGTGACACCCTGTATATACTCTAATTAGCCTACTGTACTATACAAGAATAAACAAAAAAATAAGACATATTTACCTGCCATCCGTGAATACACAAAATAGGTCTTTTATCTTTTGATCCCCACCATTTTCCAGCAATGTGTCCCCAAGGAACTGGAATTTGAATTTCTTCAAATGTTCTTGATTTCGTGCTCATGAATTTTCCTAAATTAAACACAGGAAATCTTTTGAAAAGTCTTGGCAAGTTTTGCATTTTAATCACACTTTTTACAACTATTGCAAATTAGAAATGTTTACATTTTATTTAACCTTTTTTTTATATGAATGTATTTGGTATAAAACTAAGAAACAAAAATACGGTGTTAGGAAGCCAACAACTTAAAATGTTATTGAATTTAATGATTGTTTTATATTATTTAAAATGTTATAATATATCTTATAAACAAATTATTTTCATTTAATACTGAATCGGAAGAAAAATGTAAAAGTAGGATATGCGCAAAGCAAATTAAGACATAGTCCTTAAACACTCAGAAGTAGAAGTTAATGATAAAATAGTGGTTGAAAATAAACGGTCAATTAAAAGCAAAATGAAATAAAATTGAAATTACAGAGAAGGTTGGCAATAACATTCTAACAAAATTTTCCTAAAAAATTGTACGTAATTATATTATGAAAGAACGAACGACCGATAAAATTAAAGAAAATTGAGAAAAACCGAATTTACATAGTAACATTAGTTCAAGTTGAAGGAAATAATTTGGAGATAATGAGTCTTCAAAAAATTATTTATCCACTGCGGCAAATAGTGAAACACGATTTTCCGGTAGAACTTCCAGATTGTATGTACAAGATGAAAAATATTCATTTAAGTAATGGACGCAGTCCACCTTGTGATCACGTTTCAGAGACGAAGGAAAACTTGAGCATTTCCGAGCAGGTTAAACAATTTTTAAAGGTTTTACACAATTTTCTGTATTTTCGCTATAAAATTAACCATTTTATATCTNCTGTTGGCAGTTTGTGACACATCATTCTTATCAATCCATCTTGCATTATCTTTATTGATTCGCGATAATTTCGATAAAGTCCCAGTTAGAAGTATTACTTCATTGTGCCACAATTACTCAGATAGGTAGAAATGATTGTACAGTTGTAATTAAAAGTTCGAAAGGTTTGTCACATATTCGAAATGGCGAAAACAAAAAGGCAATTTATTGCTGCTTCTGGTTTAACATCTTTAGGGGGTTTTCTTATGGGATTAGTGGCGTTAACTACAAAACAGTGGGTTACATCTGATGCCATCATTACCCTTGGTGTCTATAACGAACCCAGTTTAGTTTCCTATGGTCTTTTTAGTGGTGTTTACAGACAAATTTTAGCTATTAATAATCAAAACGAGTATTCTCTCACAAGTACGTAAACATTAATAAATTAATTAACTTTTCAAATTTTGATTACTCTTTTGTAGCATTATTTTAAGCCATTTTACGTCATATTATTATATTTCTTATAACTA